ATTCAATGCTCATGTTCAACCTCTATTCTGCAACATTCGCATAAAAGCTTCTTAATCTTTTTCCATGCTTTGTGTTTATTCATTAAGTCCTCTTGTTTCGCAGGCAAAGGATGCAGATAACAACGTTTACAGCACCGATTAAAAATCCAACGTACTTGATAATTTAACATTTCGAAGTAAGCTCCAAGTTCATATACTTTATCAATGCGAGTATCCGTTGCCCTCTTCAATAATTCACCAATATCATCAACAGCCAAAGCTAGATTGTAGAAAGATAAAACTTTATATAAGTGAGAAGTAGAATTCATTATTACCTATAAGTACATTGGTTATCAAAATAGTAAATACACAAACTAAAACAATAATTATGATGAAACTCATTTCTTTATAATACGCTGTATTTTCTTCTCCAAACATCAGATCGCCATAATTGATTTCACCGGTGCCCATAATTCCTAGATAAATATATATACAGGGTGATTGAAAAGTAACTCCCTAATTTAAATTCTTTATTACTCTCAAACAACAAAAGATATCGTCCTGATTTTTTTCACCATCTTGAAGCATGGGCTATGCCATTTTGTTCTAGATGAAACAAATCGATTGATCATTTGGCTGTCTAAGATTTAACCCGAATTTTATCTTGACAACATTTGGAAAAAACTATTATTTTTAGTAGTTTATTATTCTTGTACTAGAACCAGGATGTGACTGTGAGCATGCGTATAGGTGTGGGATGTGCATGCAGGTGTGTATGTGTGTTTAGACAATACAAAAATGTTTACCCAAACCCGCACACTTATATTCTGCTTCCAGTTCAAGAATAATAAACTGCTAAAAATAAAAAGTTTTTTCCAAATGTTGTCAAGACGATATCTTTTGTTGTTTGAGTGTAATAAAGAATTTAAATTAGGGAGTTACTTTTCAATCACCCTGTATATATATTTATCTAGGTATTATGGGCACCGGTGAAATCAATTATAGCGATCTGATGTTTGGAGAAGAAAATACGGCGTATTATAAAGAAATGAGTTTCATCATAATTATTGTTTTAGTTTGTGTATTTATTATTTTGATAACCAATGTACTTATAGGTAATAATGAATTCTACTTCTCACTTATATAAAGTTTTATCTTTCTACAATCTAGCTTTGGCTGTTGATGATATTGGTGAATTATTGAAGAGGGCAACGGATACTCGCATTGATAAAGTATATGAACTTGGAGCTTACTTCGAAATGTTAAATTATCAAGTACGTTGGATTTTTAATCGGTGCTGTAAACGTTGTTATCTGCATCCTTTACCTGCGAAACAAGAGGACTTAATGAATAAACACAAAGCATGGGAAAAGATTAAGAAACTTTTATGCGAATGTTGCAGAATAGAGGTTGAACATGAGCATTGAAT